AACAAGAGAGAGATTACCGATACTAGTGTCATACAGTGGGGGATATACTAGCCAATCTGTCAGTTGGCGAAAGGAAAGAGAAAGAATGGAAAAAAAAAAGTACCCGATAACCAAAACACCAAACAGGAGAGGAAGGGCCTCAAAGCACGTTGCAAATAGCGAGTAGGGCACGGCGGGTGGGCTACCATAAGACGAAATATCATAGCCATAGACCCGGATAACCGGGGGTGTGCTTCTCGCCCCGGTAAACCTAAGGGCTTGTTTGGCGGGAACGGTAGGCGGGCCGGTCGTTCCATTCAGTGAGGAGAAGTGATTGTCTTGGCATCTTCATAACGGAAGGCAATGGCCGTTTGCATAGGGAAATGGAACGGAACGGTCGTGTTCGAACAGGCCCTAAGCTCATCGATCCTCGCTAGAGTACCGGTAAAATAGCTTGGAAAATCGGCAGAAGTTGCCCTTCAGCCTCCAACAAAAAACCACAATAGGTAACAGCTATTTTGGGTGGATAGTATGAAGCCGTGGAGGGCGACGCTTATGAGATGGCGCCAAAGTATGTGAGGGGAAGCTGGCTGTGCTAGATGAAACGCAGGGGACATGGCAGCCAGAGTGGGAGGTGAGTGTTGAGGTTCTTGGGAAAGCCGCTCGATATGCTTGTTTTCGTGTCGCTAGCGAAAGGCTGACCCTGCGTCCCGGGGACTAAATATTTTTTGCAGGTTAGGGGTTCCCGGGCAGAAAGTATGATAGCTCGACAACCCCCCCATACCCGTTCGCGGCAGCGTATAGTAGTGGCGGCTTGCTATCATAGTTTTGTCTAAGCTATCGGGGTCGGCATCCTCCCGCCCCCAGCAGTAGCTTCACCAACTACCCACGCCCGGTTTTGGCCGCGTACGTAGGGAATGAGCTCCCGTCGATCTGGCTTGCCGGGGCCAATGTCGGCGTGTGCCAGCAATAACTTTACCGCTGCATCTTTCCCCTTCAAGATGGCAAACATGAGCGGTGTCCGGCCCCATATATCTGACTTGTCGGGGCCGACATCCTTCCGTTCTAGCAGCAGCTTCACAGTCCCCTCGCACCCGGCAGCAGCAGCGTATGATAGCGGGGTAGCCCCCTGTCGGTTTGGCTTGTTAGGGTTAATATCTACATGTGCTAGCAATAGCCTTACTACTGCTTCTTTCCGCATCTAGACAGCAAACATGAGTGGTGTCTGGCCCGATGTATCTAGCTTGTCAGGGTCAATATCCTCCAGTTCCAGCAGCAGCTTCACCATCCCCTCGCACCCAGCGGCGGCAGCGCGCGATAGTGGCGTGACCCCTGCCGATTTGGCTTGTCGGGGTCGGTATCTGCACGGGTCAGCAGTAACTTTACCACTCCTCCTTTCCCCTTCAACACAGCAAACATGAATGGTGTTTGGCCCAATATATCTGGCTTGTTGAGGTCCACATCCCCCCGTTCCAACAGCAGCTTCACCACGCCCTCACTCCCATTCTCGGTAGCGTACGATATTGGCGCTCGGCTCCATTCGTCCGACTTGTCGGGGCGGACATCTACCCGCTCCAGTAACAGATTTACCACTCGCTCTCTTCCATTCTCAGCAGCCAATAATAGTAGTGTTTATTCCCCCCCCCCTTATATATATTCTAGGTTAACGTCTTCGCGTTCTAGCAATAGCTTAACCACTCCATCATAGCCAGCCCAGGCAGCCTACGATAATAGTATTCGACCGATACCGTCCGGTCTGTCTGGGCTAACATCTTCCTACTCAAGTAATAGCTTCACCAGCCCCTCATGTCCATTGCCAGCAGCACACGATAGCCCTGTTCGACCCCATTCGTGTAGTCTTTCAGGGTCAATACCTGCCCGTTCTAGGATCATCTTCACTACTCCCTCATGTCCGTTCTCGGCAGCATACGAGAGCGGTGTTCGGTTGAAAAAATTCGGCGTCTCGGGGTCGATAACTTCCTGCCTCAGTAACAGCTTCACTACCCCCTCGTGCCTATTCCTAACGGCCCACGTGAGCGGTGGAGTGCCCCTAATCTCCTTGATTTATATCACAACCACCCATCCCTATCACAACCTCCGCGACTTCGACAATCCCGAAGAAGCTTGCACAATGCAGTCCATTAAAGCGTCTAGGCTTGCCAAAACGCATGTATCCCCATTCTTGCTTCAAGTGTAATCTGGGGGATATGTGGTTCTCGTATTGGTCTAGCAGCTTCAATGCAAGTAATTTCGCGCAGCTTGAGAGTCCTACTCTGGCGTGGCCCCCCAATATAAAGGGGAGTATGCGAGAAATGGGTTCCTTCGGAGGTCAGAAGTACGATCCGTCGGAAGTTCTCTGACTTGCTGGGAGTTTAGGTAGGCTAGGCAGGTTTCCGCCATAGTAGAGTGAGGTCTACTAAAGAGATTGGGATTGGTGGAAAGATGCTCCTGAAGAGTGAGATGGATCAATCGGACAGTCGAGACCTCATTTTCCACAGTACAAGTCCCTGGCAGCAGCCCAACAGTGTCCCTATGGAAGGAATGTTGTCGGTGTTTAAATTCGGTGATCGTAGCTCAACCGCCAAGGCGTGGCAGAGTTCATTCACTTTCAGCGGCCGCTCGGAATAGGAGATCCACTTCAGGGGGGCCATCCCGAACCCTACTTTCTGCAAGCTCTGCGTCTTCATCCGTTCTATCATGGTACCATCTACGGCCCCCAACCCCACCCCGCCCGTCATTTCGTTGAGCTTCTGTCGCCTGCGGTAGATTGTAGTCTCTTGTAGAATCGCTTCAATAGTCAGCGAGACCAGCAAGAATCTGGCGAAATGTTGATCAGCGCTTATGGTGGGGCAATTTTCTTGAGGTCGTTCTCCCTACGTACATTTCTGAAACACTGTCCGAAATGCTTTTCGAAATCTCTGCCTCCAAACTAGAATCCATCGCATCAGGAGCTGTGTCCTTCTTCAACCTTGCATAGATATATCGGATGACATCCCTTCTGATGGGCGTTATCGATACGCTCGTCGTTCTTCCGAGAAGGTACTTGTCAACCCCGCTCCGGATATGCGGTCTTCCGGTTAGGAATATTTGAGTCCCGGGAGATGACTCGAGTATCCCTTTTGGTGGTTCAGGTATATCTAACCGATGCCCCGCCTCACTCATCCAGCGCATCAATGCATATAAACGTGCGGATTGAGGTCAAGGCATCCTGTAGCATCTTCACAATCTCGGAAAGCCGCGGCCTCCGGTCGCCAATCGTCTTTCTCTGCTTCCGGAAGGCACCCACTATTTCTCCCGGGATCTCATCCAGACCACCGGCAACCTGCTTCAGAGTGCGCCCAACACGTTCGTCGGGGATTGCTCATTGCGGGAGGCGTAGTCAAAGTAGAAGCAAGCCACTGCAACGCCTTTGTCCCCGAACTCATCACACAGAGCGTCGGTCACTAAGGAACTAGCATCCAGGCTGGTAAGCACTCCATTTCGCTCACTAAGCTACGTCCTTCATTTCCAGAGCATCGTCTTCCATACCTGAGATAGGTCTTGCCGACCCCTGGATTGCCAAAGCTCCAGTACGACTCCTATCATCTTCGGTACCATCGAGCCAGCGACCGAACCCCCCCGAATGCAAAAGCCAATCCCCCACGCTGTCGGCCCGGTCGATTCGGATGTCTTGGCGCCGTATCTGTGGCTCTAATGGAGATAACCAGGCCAGGATTTCCGATCGATTGTCAGCAACTGTGATACCCACGGTGTTGAAAGAGCTGTGATTACCGCTGAGAAGTGAAGGCATCTTGGTGTTTTCGCTGCCCGGAATTTGGCAGAGGGGAGGTGGATCGTATTGGGTGGGCGGTTGGTGGAACCTGCTTTCATCAGAGGGATCTAGCAGTGAAAATTATCCCTGCAGAAAATGCGGTAACCACAGCAACAATGATAAATCAGGAAAGGTGAAATGCCAAGCACCCCCACTTGGCATAATAAGCAGGGAGCATTAACACCCCTCCCCTCTACTCGAGTACTTCATACCTGTGCTTGTACCACTGGAACCCAGGAGTAAGCATTATCCTTGCAAGAAATGCTAAGTGTACGAGTAAACAATGTCCAAGGCAAAATCTAAACTGCAATGAGTATGGCAACTACTCTTTCTGCAAGCAAGCCTTGGATTCCATGACAATTTGGGCTAGGTTATGTCTTGGGTTGTCGTCCAATTGTCTCCCCCTTCCACCCAACCGTGGTTGATGGGATCACTGAGGCTGAAGAAAAGGGGCGCCACGCGAATTGTGGGCAGCCCAGTGAGCATCTCGGGGCTCTGCAGTGGGTCCACCCAAGACACGTTTGGTAGACTATCGCAAACGTGCCTGCATCCGCGCATCACTAAGCCACCGTACTGACATGAAAAGGCGCCGCATGAGATTCCACACAGCAAGCCTAAATTGTCGTACTCGTATCATGCGAGGGCCAGGCATTTGGTCATGGTGCTTGTACGAGTACAAGTACTCGAGTACGGGTACGGTACCGGGGTTGTCTCTCGTCTCTTTTCGCCGTTCTCTGCGCTAGGTCGGACTTTAGATGTCTGATCGGTTTTATTTCGCCGTGAAGATAGGGCAGCCCCCATAAGAAATGATGTTATTTACAAGGCCTCTTCGACGGAGGGGCCAAACAGTTCTGTTCGTGTACTGTGTTCGAGAATCGGCATCATTTGGTGGGATCAAATCCGTATTCTCGGGGGCTCCGGCTAATATCATAACCGTGCCAAAAATGCACGGCTACTACCGGCACAGCATGCAGGAAAATGCTTTGCAGTCAGGAGGCGAGGTCGTCGCTAAATATAACTCAGCTTATCGTTTTATGTAGGCGGCGGAACGAGACCTGAGCAATACGGTACTAACAGGTAGGTTAGTCAGCATCCGAACCGCGACTGGGACCAACGAATCCGCGCCAAGTTACATTCCCCAAACCCCCGCAGTCAGCACTCCTGGATTACAATACCCTATTATCCCCTCTCTCTAACCTCTCGCCTGCACGGATTTCTAAGGCTTCTGATTTCCCGAGATTGAATTTCTATATTCCCAACTGTTCCAAGACGTGGTCGCTTTGCTATTGTACCCGTTCACCGCCCTTTAGTCTTCACCGGATTGGAGGAGCCCGAGCGAGATTGCCCCCCATACCGGTAGCGGTCTCAAAATCAGAGAATTATTCACCTCCATACCTAAGAGTACGTCCTCGACTGCCCGTTCTACCTTATATCGCGCTATTGACTTGTTTCGAGGTCCGCGAATGGATTTTGAACCGCCTCGGTTGGCGACATAAATTATAGGCTACCATACCGATAGTGACATCTTATCGCTTTTCCTACCCGACCTTCGAAAACAGCCCGGAAGTGAGTTGGATACCTGATGGATCGGTGGGCCCCCCCTTCCCTCCAGTGTCTGTGATTTCATAAATGATAAGCACTCGCCTAATAACCTTCCCAGAAAAATCCAAGGTTGCATTAGGGGAGACTTTAGCGGGAACTCTGGGGATCATAACGTTTTTGGTAGTTTTAATAACAATAATAACGTATACACGGGTTACCTGAACAATGCTGCCAATCACGGAACAATATATCAAGGGTGTGTGTTTGGAGCTGAGGGCAGAGGTATATCAATTCTCGCGAGAGGTCCCTGGGAGAGGACTAATGTGTTATCACAACTGGAAGAAGCGACTGGACGGTATCGGATAATCCCCTATCGCAGAAACAGCAGGTTCACTGGCCGCAAAGACCTCATTGAGTCGATAAAGAGGCTTTCCGGGTGCACCAGTCACACGCGGATCGCACTTCATGGATTAGGCGGCTCCGGGTATTTCCCCATTTCTGTTATCTCGGGGGTTTGCTAACATTGCTTAGAAAAACTCAGATTGCCCTTGAATACGTCTATCAGCGCGCAAGCGAGACCGATTGTCATGTTTTCTGGGTGCAGGGGAGTGGGCTATTAAAATTCATTGAGGGTTTCAGGGCTATTGCGCAGCATGTTCGAATTCCACTAGCCAGCGCCGAGACGAACCAAGAAGAATTACTAGCTAGTACAAAGAGGTGGTTTGAAGGCCCGGACAGTGGTGATTGGATACTAGTTATCGACAATGCCGACAACGAGGAGGACTTCATCGGCAACAGCGGTCCCATCTCCAAATTTGTACCACAAGGCCCTAGGGGTACTCTAGTATTCACCACCAGATCATTCCGGGTTGCATCCTGGCAGGATTGCGAAAGGATTGGTGTTGGGGAAATGGGGGAGGATGAAGCCACGGCATTGTTTTCGAAACGCTATGGTAACGGGAACAGATTAGGAGAGGAAGAGAAGGAGGCCATCGCATTGATCTTGGGCTCCCTGCACCGCATCCCGCTGGCAATTGTAGGAGCAGCAGCCTTCATGACAGAAACCCAGACACCGCCCTCTGAATACTGGACCATTTTCCGGGGAAGTGACGAACAAGCAAAGAGACTCCTTTTGCAGCCGTTTTGTGAGATACAACGAGAGGCGGACATGACCGAAAGTATCCTAGCCACGTACTTTATCACCTTTGACCGAATCGCGGGGCAGATGCCCCGGGCGGCGGATCTTCTGCGTCTAATTGCATGCTTCGATCGTCAGAACATACCCGAGGAGCTATTGGGTTTGGGAGGGACGGATGATCCAATTGAGTTTCGTCAGGCCATAGGAAAACTATTAGGATTTTCGCTCGTCACGGCCGTCAACCGTGAGGAGAAGACATTTTACGAACTTCATCGTTTGGTCCAACTGTCTTTACAAGTGTATTTACCAACAGAGGAGTTGGACCGATCGAGGGCCGCTGCGCTGGGAGTGGTTTCAAGGTTGTTCCCTCGCCATTGGCAGACGCGGAGAGACGTTGGTCCCGCATACATTCCACATGTGCTTGCAGTAACCAAACATTCAACTGACCCTATTGCCGAAGAGCTGTGTTTTCAGTTGGGGCGGTACTTTGTGGATATGGGTTTCTACAACGACGCAGAAGGTCAATTGCGTCGATGTATAGCACTGCGGGAAGAGAATAAAGGGTATGACTGGGATAAGGAAGGTCCGAAGAGGGTTACGCTTCTGGGGGCAGTAAGCGCATACCAGGGGAAGGCTGGTATGGCCGAGGAGATGCTGCGAGATTCATTAGAGGATATTGAGGGATCATTGGGCCCAAATAATCCTATCGTCCTGGAAGCTTTCGATGGCCTGGCTCTGGCGCTCCTGTACCGTGGAAAGTACGACGAATCAGAGAAGGTGAATCGGCATGCGCTGGAAGGGTATGAGAAGATTCTTGGACCAGACCACCCAAGCACCCTAACAAGTATCAACAACCTGGCCAATGTACTACAATCCCAAGGAAAGTACAAGGATTCAGAGATGATGAATCGGCGTGCACTGGAGGGGCGCAGGAAGATTCTTGGACCAGACCACCCAAGCACCCTAACAAGTATCAACAACCTGGCCGATGTACTACTATCCCAAGGAAAGTACAATGATTCAGAGATGATGAACCGGCATGCACTGGAGGGGCGCGAGAAGATTCTTGGCCCAAACCACCCAAGCACCCTATCAAGTGTCCACAGCCTGGCTATCGTGCTAGAATGCCAAGGAAAGTACGACGAATCAGTGATGATGAAGCGGCGTGCCCTGGAGGGGTGCGAGAAGATTCTTGGCCCAGACCACCCAAGCACCCTATCAAGTGTCAACAACCTGGCCATCGTGTTGAGATCTCAAGGGAAGTACAATGAATCAGAAACGATGAACCGGCGT